TTTTTTTTTTGTTTCAGCAGCTCAAATGAGATCATATCCTGCAAACTTACTGTAAGAAAGATGGCGAATGAGTTACCTGCCGATGACCCTTTGTTCGGCGGTAGTTTTTTCTTCTTTTCTTCTTGAAGATGATTACCTTCGCATCTAAAGCCTGGTAGGGCCATTGCTATGGTTTAGTTTCAGGTTAAGGGACAAGCTCCAATCTATGTTAAATGCAAGGTTGGGCAATATGTTTGGTGTCATGCTGAAGCTAAAATATTTTTCGAAGGGAAATTAATAAACATACCACACAATTTTTATGTATTTATGTATTTAACATCCAGCATTTGATATTTATGTTTATAACACCCGGTGTCTTGAACATATGCATAAAAAGGTGTATTTCACTTTTAAAAGGTTAATAATTGTGGCATTTTTATGTGATGTTAAAGTTTTGAGTGTTGCAAATGTAAATATGAAAAGTTTAGGTGTATGCTTAATACAAATAAATAAAAATGTAAAGGAATGGTTTAAATGAAATAAACTATCCTATGCTATATGCCATTGATGTTGAGAGGGAGTGATAGAGGAATGAAATGTCTTACATGTTCTTCGACAACGGCATGTACCGCTGCATCAGGTAGTATAGGCCTACCAATGATAGTTTCAGTTCTTGAGCCCAGCATAAGAACTTTGCTTAGAATCAGCTGCACAAAATTTTCATTGTTTGTTAATATAAAATGTGATCAATAATGCTAAACACAGAGTAGAGATACAATTGAAATGGAATTATATAGCACCAGAAACAAGTTCACTGTTTGCTCGGAGAGAATTGAATGTGTTGTATCCTTGAAAATTATGTTGTTTGGTAGGCTGAAAATTTTAAGTCCAAAGTGTTTCTTGTAGGAATTTGAAACTCATACACAATTCATTTAAAGTAAATTAAAAAATTGTCCGACTTGCACAAAATATAAATACAGCTTCGACCTCATCCCAATGAGCTCGTCACAAATTCTTCTTCAAACACAGCCAATCTCTTGGATCCTTGCAAGAGCAAGCTCTCCTTATCATCTCCGTTTCTCTTTACATGTCGCCCATCCCGCCAACACCACCCATCGTAATTCATATGCTAAGCTAATCCCATCGCAATTTCCACATTTCGTTGATCCCATTGAAATTTCCACATTTCGTTGATCCCATCACAATTTCTATAGGCCATCAATGCTTGCCTCGAGAGATCAGTTTGCACATGAACCTGTGACCTTGAAGATGTGAACCCCCTAGATCCCCTGCTGGCAATGACACCAATGGGACCCAAGTATTGCTTGAGAGATCGGCCTCTTCATTGTCCTCTGCAAAACCTAGGTATCTTATTTTATTTTATTTTATTTTATTTCACAAGGTTCAGCCAAACATAAAAAAAAATGATCCACTGAAATTCAAATGCACTGTATTGACTTAGCAATGCATTTAGAATTCTCCCAAATTCCAACTCTAGCAATCTAGCAAACCCAAAGAAGTTCATCACTTATTGCAAAAAATATATATATATATTGAGATTAATGTTTGTGTGTGTGTTTTTTTTTTCCCCTTATACGCACTAAGGATACAACACTTTTATAGGTCAGCAAATACATTAAAATAATATTCAGATAAAAATCCCTTCCTCAAAATTACAAAGACAACACCATTATTGCAAAAAAAGAGGCCCAAAAGAATAAAGCATATTTTGAGTAATCTTTTACACCAAAAATGAAGACAATTTTGAGAAGATAAAAGTAGTGTTTATGAATGTGCGAGAATGAGTAGATGTTTTAAATTTGACTTATGTTGAGAAATGTTAAGAGTGGTCCTAAAAAGAGTTGGGCATGTTGTATAAAAATGATCTTAATTTATTAGAATTAAATGAAAACATACCACTCAATAGGACACAGTGGAGAAAAATGTTTCATGCAGCCGATCCCACTTAGTGGGACAAAAGCTTGTTGTTGTTGTTATGTGTGCGAGAAAGAGAAAGAGATACACCTAAAATACAACCTCATTCAACATATTACTATCCTACAAAATGCAAATGTCACTATTAATGCAGCAAGACATTTTTGCAGTACTCTTCTTTACTATAAAAAAACAATGAATAAAATTTTCAGAAAATCATATGTTAGGATGTTAGGAGTTATACGAGGAAATAATTTAGTCCTGTGAGAAATTACAAGAAATAAATTATTTTTTACGATTAAAAAGTTATTTCCTTTCCGATTTCAGGCTTTCCTATTTTATTTTATTTCCGTAATCTCAAAATAATTAATATGATTTGATTATTAGAGGTATTAGATGATATATATTTTTTTCATGTTATTTCTTTTTTTTATCTTTTCTATTATAGGATTATGTAAGGGTTATTTATACCTCTTTTATATTAATGAAATTATTCTGAAATCTGCTTTATTCTGAATTTCAACATGGTATCACAGCCAAATTCCCCACTCTAGCTGTTGGTCCTCCTTCAAAACCACCGGACTCCCTTCCTGTTATCCTCTGTGCGGGAAGGAAGGGGAATTCTTCTTGGTATTTTGAAACAACCAAATTTTCTTCTTCTCTTCCGGTAGCCACCAAGCTCCTCCACAACAGTCGCCTGCTTTACCTACAAGGCCTCCTATAGTAATTTCCTAGCAGTCATCCCCTATGTGCTTGCAGGGGAAACATCCTCCGCTGGTTTCCAACACAGCCCTTCCCGACCTCACTACTCTTTCTCCTGGCTCAAGTGCATGGGTTCATATTTCATACTGGTTTCTGAGATCATGAAACTGATTGAGGTCTAGGGATTCAGAGTTCCGCCTCGATCAAGAAGGCCCGGGATCACATTGAATCTTCTAAATGTTAAGGCAGACACTTTGACGGAGTGCTTACAACTATGCTCTGGAGTTCGTGGCGTTCAAATTGTAGGATCTAAAAGATTTCATCGAGTTATGCTTGAAAGGCGGGTTGTAAAGAGTGTTACAAGCGTTGTGTAGAGGTTTATCTATGAGCATGTTTCACATTTATCGTCTAGCTTGCCGTCTTTTATTCTTTTGTTGATTGATATTTCCTTTTTCTTGATTATCCTCAACGCATGACAATTTTCTGCTTAAAACGCCATTCCTTACCAGAAAGATGGACAAAGCTGTCCTTATAGCCATATTTGCCACTATAGGCAACTTGTTGCAGGGCTGGGACAACGCCACAATTGTTGGAGCTCTTATCTATAGTAAAAGGGAATTTAAGCTACAAACACAACCTACTATTGAAGGATTAATCGCGCCATGTCACTTATCGGGGATACTATCATTACTACATTCTCTGGACCTGTTTCAGATTGATATGGGAGGCGTCCTATGCTGATTTTCTCATCAATCCTTTATTTTGTTAGTGGAGTGGTGATGCTTTGGTCTCCAAATGTCTACACTATCCTTCTGGCAAGGCTCATCGATGGCTTTGGAGTTGGTTTGGCTGTCACGCTCATGCCTGTCTATATTTCTGAGACTTCTCTGCCAAATATAGGAGGGCAGCTAAACACATGTATAATGGAAATCCAGATTCTTTTTTGGCTTCCGCCAAAGATGGAAAAGGGGAGCTATTTTCCAGATGGCTTCCCTCCACATCTCAACCACCAAAATAAGAAAGATTTTCCAGATGGCTTCCCTCCACATCTCAACCACCGAAATAAGAAAGGGCAACTTTTTCCCTATTATACTTCTCGTTGTTTTTTTGTTGCATTTGTTCCTTGCAGCAGTCCGTCTTCCTAGATTCCAGTAGTCCAACTTTCCTGATTTCTTTCAGATTTTCAGCAGCCCGGCTTCCTAGTTTCCAACAGTCTGGTTTCCCTGATTTTCTGCAGGTCTTTAACGCTGGAGGTGCAGCTGCCCCACCGTCTTCCCAACAGATCATTCCAGCTGATTTTTGGCATTCGTTCCCTGCAGCAGTTCGACTTCCTGGTTTACAACAGTCCGACTTTCCTGATTCTCTAAGTTGCTTGGTGCCGCCACGATAGTGAGGGCATTGGGTGGATATATGACCAGGCAGAAGGAGTGTCTAGTGATGGCCTTAGACCAACTTTCTATACAATCAATGCAGTGGTTTATTTAGTGCAGGTGTTTCTGTGGCTGCTTATGTGGTGTTTAAGTCATTATCGTCTTGTTTAAGATATTATTTTATAGGTGTCTCTTTTCAAGTTGTCCTTGGTTTCCTTCTTTACAATGGAAGATTTTTCCTGATGTTACACCGTTTTCCTATTTTAGGCTTTCCTATTTTATGTTATTTCTTTTATCTCCTAATAATTAATATGATTTCATTATTGGAGATAGTAGGTGATATATCTTTCCTTTTCATGTTATTTTTTTATTATATTTCCTATTCTAGGATTCATGTAAGGATTATTTATACCCCTTTCATATCAATGAAATTATTCTAAATTCTGCTCTATTCCATATTATTCTGAATTTCAACAATATATATATATACAGATCTACCTACTCCATATTATTCTGAATTTCAACAATATATATATACAGATCTACCTAATACACTATCTCATTTAACATATTACTGCCCTAAAAAATATAAAGGTAATACATAGCTATTTTTTTTTTTTAAACGCAGTCATCGCACTGTACAACAGCTGCCTTTATAATGAACAGAAATGAATCTCAAGGAGCCAACTGTTTACATCTGGAAACCGAGTATTGTACATGAATCAGCCCTGTTTCCACGATATTCCTTGGTCGTGATAACATGTGATTTACAGCCAAACAATAAATAAAAAAATAAAATACGGAATTGCAGCCAAAGTTCAACTACTTTATCCTATGTAATCTAATTTAAAATAAAAATAAAAGGAGCATAAAGAACAAGCAATAGCAGATCAGTGGTCAGTTCAATAAAAACAAAAGAGCATGTTGCAGAATGATTCATAATCGTTACAATTCATAGTGAGAGCTAATCATATTGAAATACATTTGAACTACCGGTAATAGAAGGCTCACCAAATCACATCTAGCAACAGCTAGCAGATAGTAAAGAGATTCAAAATTCAAGTTTTCAAAGGAGTGTTATAGTGAATCCCTTAAAAAGAATGAAGTTCAACTCTTAAAGCATTGAAGCACCTTTTGGTGTAATGGTTGGAATTACATCAGACACTCAAAAGCTAATTGATATTCTCACATAAAATCATAGCCAAGAAAACACCATCATGGTTCACAATTCACCGTGCCAAATCAAGGCTAAAAAAATAACGGATGTTCAGAAAAAAAAAAAAATTGAATAGCAACCTTGTCATTAACCTCGCAGTACTTAAGCCTTTCAGCAAAAATGGAATCACCATTACTAACTTTGAACTGATGCGAACCAATCTGTACCAAAAACAAAAAAAAGATTAAAACTGAAACTAACGAATTTTACACGCAGAGAAAAATTGAAAAAAGAGAAAGACCGATGTTTACCTGAACAACAGCAAAGACCGGTTCGTAAGGCTTGAACGGGTTTTCAGATGGAGTGAGTGGACCAATTACCTTGTACCCGATCGAAGCCGCCTCCTCGAGCTTCTCAGCCTCCGACTTACCACCCTGCGCCACCAACTTCGGACCCGCCTCGCTTCCATCCTCTTCGTCACAGCTATCCTCTACTTCGCCTTCATCATCCTCTTCTTCCTCGTCGTCGTCTTCGCTTCCAGAGTAATCGGGCGTACGAGATGAGAAACAGCGAAAGATAGACGTGTACGCCAATGCATTTAAGGTGTTCGACGGAGGAGATTGAGAGAAAGTAACGAGCTTTGAGCGTAGGGTAAGAGTTCCGAAATTCGGTAAGGAAGAGATTGGCTGATTCGAGAATCGGAGAGGGCGAGCTACGGCTCCAAGAAGTCGCCGGGTAGCCATGGCTGGAAGTTTAGGGTTTTAGCTTAAAGGGAGCAAGGAAGGTTTATTTTTGGAAGATTTACATAAACATTACTCAGTTTTTATGTATTTGCATTTGGGCCCATAAACTTCAATTTCTATTTACATAGAACACCTATGCTTGCAGTCTAAAGATAGAGGCCAGCTTTGGATTCCAAATGCAGATGGTTTGC